CTCCTAGATAAACCACAGCAAGGAAATTATTGATTCAGTCAGATGTAGAAATAACAGAAATAATTAAAGCAAGTCAGGGACTAAGTAAGTAAAAGGGCCTTTTGAAAATCATACACAAAGTTCAGGCATCAATCTGGGAACTAATCATTTTAGTAAACTCATTTATGTTAATTTTGCAGACTGAATCAGCCTGTGACAAACACTTTATACAGAAAGACTGGGAGCACAAATACAAGGAGAATTGGAGGACTGGGAGGACACAGTAATGGAAATATTGAGAGATATACCAGTACAAAGTGTCAGATGCTGAGTCTGGACTGATAATAAGTGTCTGCAGGGAACTTGTATAAACTACAAGTGGCTGAAGAGAAATAGCCCCAGATTTATCACAGAACAGCTATAGATCAGAAATACAATACAGCCACTAAGGAGACAAATGTGACCCTTTACATTTAATGATTCACATTCTTTTCACACAAGAGAGGGAACTATCAACACTGGTGCCTTGGCCATGAGCCACTAACTGGAATATTGTTCCTAGTCACTCCTATTCAAGGAAAATGAATTCAAATAAATGCAACCAGGATGAACAGAAACAGAACTTTGCTTTTGAGAGGAAGGCTAACTTTTAATTTGGTCTAAGAAATGAAGGGTTTAAGTCTCTCCAAGCTTCACTACAAAAAATTCAGCTAGAACAGTTCAAGTGATAACAGACAGAGCATTATAAATACACTGGCAGAGACACGACAGTAAGCTGCTCTACCAACAGGTCTGACACTGCCTTCCAAGAGAGTCAGGGCCAAATCCCAAATATCCTTAACACAGGCCTTTGCTGCTGAGTCCAGGCAATTACATCTCCTAAAGCCCCCGTGGGATATTATCTCCTGAATCAGCCCCTCATCCCAGAAACATTCCCTGCGTTTCTCAGCCAACGTCCAGGATCAGCTCCATGCTCCAGCAGCCCTGGGTTTGCCCAAAACAACTTCCAACAAAAACATTGCACGTGCCCCTTTCAGGAATGCGTGCTTTTCCCTCAGGGATGAGCCAAAGGCTTTAGTTTTAAGTCCTGCTTTCACAGCTCCAAAGCCAGGCTGGTCACACACACAAAGGGCTGCGTTGTGCTGGGCACAGACCCCTCTGGAAGCCAGGATTTGTTCACCCTCACACACTGTCCCTGCTCAGGCTGCCTCCCTGGGGGTGGGAGAAAACCTCTGCTTTTGGGGAGGAATGTGTGGGTCTCAGATTCAGTCAAAGAAAGAAACTGAGAGTTTCTAGCCAGGCAAAAATCCTGGGAAAGAGCTGGAAAAGAATGTAAATAATTCTTTATCTCTCTTGTTTTTCACATTGTTTATAGTTAAGTTCTATCACTGTGCGTTAAGCACTCTGCACCAATGGTGTGCGTTGTTTTCACTTCAGAGCAAATGGATTTGGTCCTCACAAAGCTCTGTATAAAAGAGCGGTATATTTTGAATAAAGGGGAGTCTTACTTTCACAGCCTTCTGAGTCAAGTCTATTCATTCCTGTCCTGCCTCCACAGTGACAGGAACGCTGCAGGGAGAGGTTCCTTCCTCCCTTACCAGGGAGGGTCTGTGGGCCCGCCAACCAAATCATGGAATTGTTAAGGCTGGCAAAGAGATCACCAAGTGCAACCATCAACCAGCAGCACCACCATGGTCACCACTAAACCACGTCCTCCAGGGCCACATCCACAAGTTTTCCAACACTTCCAGGGATGGAGACTCCACCACTGTCCTGGCAGGAAGGTGGATCACCAGGAAAATCAGATATGACAATCATTCTGCAGTTTGCATCTTTGGAAATCTTTCCCAAGCTTTCCAAGTCTTGTTCTTTGAATAAGCCAAGGTTGTTGGCCTGGCTGTATTGGTTGTGTCTCATTTAGACACACCCCACCACTGCTGCCATCCCAATAAAACACCTCTACACAGAAAGACGCAGAAAATTTCAGGGTTTTTTTTTTTCTATAAACACATTGCACTACTCAAGGTTTTCATCTTTGAATTTAATTAAAGAAAAATGTCTCAAAGTGATGAAGCGAGTTTGACTTCCAGCTTCTTTCAATGGCACAAGCCAGTGCAGTAAATTATAGAAAGCAAGCTCAGTTAGAATTTTATTTTCATTTAAAATAAAAAATCGAGAGAAAACTCTCCAGATGTGAGGTCCTGTTAAAAAAGTGGCTGTTCACTTGTAAACAGAATAAAAGTGTTAAGAACACAGTTTCATACAGCTTAAACAAAACCACTTTTCAGAAGCAATACAAGTATGTTACAACACTGTAAGAACACCAAAAGCAGAAAACAAAAGAATGGCAGAAGAATCACATAACATTGCTTACTAAAGTGATAAATAATTGATGTTGAATGTTAATAGCTTGACGTTTTTATTGCTCCAATGGTAGTGTGTTAACAAGAAAATGTAGTAAACTGTCAGTGGGACAATAATAAACATCAATTTATGGTTTTGCATATGGAGTTTTGTACCTATCAAGAAGAGCATAGGAACATTTTTTTTTTTGTATTTATCAAAACCACACCAGATTTTATAATTGGTTTTTTCTCTGTTTGATAGTCATTTACAACTGAACTCACACTCCTGAGACTTGGGTGTGCATGTTTGAACACTTCTGTGTTTCTCCAGAGGGAAAACATCTCTGCAGGAGCAGGTGGGGAATCACAAAGGAAGAGCTTTGATGCTCTGCCAGAGTTCTGCACTCCTTCAGTACTCTCCAGATACAAAACTTTCTAGATACAAACCCAAAGATTTATTGGATAAAATATAGAAACAAAATTAGTGTCAACATGTTGATGTGAAGAAATAAACACTGATTTGGTAGACAGTAACTGCTTTTAAAAATCTGATGCAAACTCCCACTCCTGAGAGGGACCAGTCAGTTCCCTTTTCTCCTTCTCTGCACAATGGTGTTGGAACCAGCCAAGGCACTTTCTTTACCATTTCCACTCACTCTGCTGACATGAATCTGTTACATTGCTACAAATTCTGACAGATATCCTCCATGAACACTTCACCAACTCATGCTGGTCATTAACTGTCAAAAATGAGATTTCCAGTCTCGGCAGACAGAATTACTTGTGATGTTTTGGTATTAAAGGACAGCCCAAGCAAAAAGAACCTGGGCAGAGTTCACAGCAGTACTGCCAGCTGCCTTCACCTTCCAGTGAGCTATGAACCCTGTGTCTTTCACATGCAAATATAATACTGCTGCTGGTTTTGCATTTTAATGCAAATTTATCTACCTATTAAAACATGGAGCTTACAGTAAATGACAGGTTTGGCTCTGGTTCTTTATGTTATGGCCACATAATTAAATGTCAATTAAAACACAAAGACAAGACCCATTCATGGTTTGAAGACTGCACAATTAATAATTAAAGACAAATTAAAATGTAGAGGATTTATGTACTTAAAATGTAAACTTTACAAATTAATATCATGTGCTTAAGTGTTCAAGGCCAGTTTGGATGGAGCTCTGAGCAACCTGGGCTAGTGGAAGGAGGGGGTGGAATGGCAGGAGCTTTGGGGTCCCTTCCACCCAACCCATTCTGTGGTTCCATGGGAAGTGCCTGTTCTCCCACTTGGAAAAGTACAGGGAGAAAATAGAGTTGCATGAAGAAAATCAGAACCTGCTGAGATTTCTTGAGTATTTTGCACAACAATATTCTGGCAGAACAGTAAGAAATTTCCATTGTTCTGTTAAATACTCCAGAAACTCATTTGTCAGTGAAATGCAAAGAAAGAACTGGGTGTGCTATTTCAGTTTTGGTTTACTCTGCCTTTTTCTGCCATTACTTTCTCTGCTTCCCATTAGCACTCATCCCCCCAAAAAAAGAACTAAAATGGAGACAACACTTTGCTTGGTTCTGCAATGGAAATCTGAGTTGCAAGGTGTAGCTAATGATAATTTCAAACAACACAGGAGATTTTTATTCATGTTACAAATGCAATTGCACATTTAGTTGTCACCAATCTACCAGTCAAACAAAGTTTCTGCATGAAATGTGCAGATTTCAAACTCTGAACCATCAGTCTGGGACAGGAAACAGCACAAACTTCCCTTTGAGTAACCTGCATAAAACTGGCCTTCTGTAAACACTGTGTACAAGGAATCTGACCTTTTACAAGTATTAGGAGGCAATGGTCTTACAAATATGGTATTTTAATAGCATATTGCAAACTGCAGAGATGCAAATACATTCAGAGGAAACCCCAAGTCACCCTGAAACTAAAAAGTAACTTGGGATGATGTTGCAGGGAGTCAAGATGCTGCAAAGAAATGCCTGGACACTGATAATGAAATCCACCACAAGTTGCAGATGCTCAGTTATCTGCTGGGCTTTGTTATTTCTAGTTAGGAAAGGCAGGGAACTTGCAACAATTTCCATTTGCTTTCTTTTAACAAGTGCTCTTGCTTAGGTCACCCATTAGAGGAAGCTTTTCTACAATGAGTTCCCTTCCTGAGATCAGGCAAACAGGGAAGAATCCAAAATAATACTGAATTCCACAAGGCTTTCCTGGCTCTCCAGACAGTGCCTGACTGCCAAAACATATTCAGGAGCCCTTTCAACTGCTGCACTTCCTCCTCTCAGCATGTTTTGAAACTCCACTTTGACTGAGATAAAACCTATTTCCACTGAAAGGGACTTGATGTCACTTAACTGTAAAAATGCTGAAGTACAACCACACCACAGCAGTAACAAAGGTGCTGCTTCAGCTGTTTCTAATTTTTCTCTTCTGTAATTAAGATCTCTGATTCGAAGTTAACTTTTCCTGACTTCAAAACAAAACAGAACTTAACATCCATATATACTCCTCACTTCAAAAGAGACTTTAGGGTATTTTGTTAATAGCAGCTGCCATCTACCTCACAAATGCAGCTTTTGCAGAGGTGAAGATTTCAGCTTTGTATTTCAGGTGCTGCAAACACCACCTGAAATACTTTTCAAAATAAAGACAGAAATGCTATGCATTTTTCATCCATTTACTAAACAAAGTGCAACTGAGCCCTACACATCTGACATATATACAAACTCTTTATGGCTTTCCCATAAAACCAGTGTGGGTGGGGCTGTACAATCCCAGGGGAACGAGCACATGGAACAGATGCTGGGGACTGTTGGCAATAGAATAAGAGCTATAATACATTCTGTAAACCTTGGCATACCACACTTTACATTATGCAAAGAGTTAATATTTACAAATCCATAGTGGGTAAACTAAAGAACCCCCTAAATGTAAATGATGATTTTGCAAAGTGCAGGACAAAACCAGTGCTGTTGACTGCAAGTCCTATGCAAGCAGGTTCTACTAAAATCATTACTACCGGAGTTTACCTGGACATTCCTACTGAGGGTTTCTAGGATTGCAACACTTAGGATGAAATATCGGATGACAAAGCTTTAGGATGCACATTGAAGGACAGCAAAGAGATAAATTAATAAGGCAGCATGCTCAGAACAAGTTTAAGCAGCACTGATGTTAAGATCCCTAGTGGCAACTCTATCAGTTATTGGTAATGTTAAAAATTCAGAGTGCAACATAGAAGCCTCGTTTAACATAAAAAAATGTGCAAATTGTTCTCTTCTTAACAAAAGAAAGTAACAGCAAGGAAGATTTCTACTGAAGAACATTTTTAAGTCACAGCAAAGTAGACCATCTTCTTTCCAAAATCATCTACAAGGCACTAAGGGTAGAAAATGACAGGTAACATGAGAGACCAATGTTGTTCCTCAGTCAGGTCGAAATATGGGGTATTTTGGTAAGAACTCTATTAATATTACCTGTTGAAGAAGGGAAAAAGACAAGAACAGAAGACAGTAACCAAAAAAGTTCAAAGTTTCAGCACAACTTCCATGAACATTAGCTAATTCTTAAGACTAAATGTATCTGAGGTAGTCTGTGAGGAGGGAATGCTCCCCAGGGTAACAAAGCAGAGATTCCAGTCATTCTGAAATAGAGGGACTCTGGGTGCTTGTCTATTTTAGGGGTGGATCTCTTTCCCTAAGGCCTATACAATCTTCACAGCTACATGTTAAAGTGGATAGGGGAGTGATAGAACCACAGAAATATTTGAAATTCTGCTTTCCTACAAGGTCTTGCTTACAACCATGTGAGATTTAGAGCTGGCAGAAAAAAAAACCACCAAAACAAATCAAAAACTAAAACACAAAAGAAAAGGTCCAACCAAAAATCCACATTACTGTAAAGATGGAATACTTCTGCAAATTTATTTGAATCAAAGGAGTTCTGAATGCCACTGGAAAAGGTGGGTAAGTGTAAGGAACTATGGACTGCTGCTGGTGGGAATCACTCCAATGCAGAAAGTCCCAGTGGGTCTCCCTCATTCCAAATTACAGACCAAACTGCACATTTGTCTGGGAGATCTTTTTGCACAGGGTAACTAGGTGAAGGATTTTCTCTATTAAATCACAGTTCTGTTGAATAGCAATAAGTAACAAGCAATACTCACATATTCCATCATATTGCTAGTTTCACATTTCCTTTTACTCAGCTTCCAGTGCAAACCAAGCTAAGGAAATAATTAACAAAGGATTAGCACAGCCTTGTTTAGATGTGTAATGCAGCAAGCATTAGCAATACTGAATTATTAGGATCTATTATTTAAGATCAGTATAAAGTATGGAATTATGACAAGACTGTAAAATCCTTCATTGCCAATATTCTTAAAGCTGAAAGAAACAAGCACTCTTTTCTTACCTTATGATATAGTCTGTTATTTTCCCATTCTAATAACTTCTGAATTGATCTTCTAGTCTAGAAAGGAAGTCAGAAGTGCATCAGAAATGGTTCAGCAGCTGGTCTCATCCAGAAGGATCTCACTACTGCATTTCTGGCTAAGCTTAATTTACAGTAAGTTAAGTTCTATAAAAGTAGAACAAACCAAAGAATAAATACATGGAAATCTTATCACTTCAACTCCCCACTCCCCCCTTTTTTCAAAAAAGGAAAACACTCCTGGGTTTTTTGTTAATTTAGAATCACTGGAAAAAATTCTAAGATCAAGTCCAGCTTAGGCCTGTGGCTTTTCCAGAGTTCATTTGGTTAGTAAGAGATCTCTTTGAATTTGGTGTTTTTACCTCCCACAGCCAACAAAACAAAGTCTCCTGGCCAAATCCTGCACTCACTGCAGGTGTTCTGCTGAAAACACAGATTTCATACATTTAATTTCCAGATTTTGCTAAGGGAATTGTGATCTGGATCTTGGGAAAAAACCCTCACCACCAAACTCTAGTTCATAACGAATTATTTTCAGCGATTGGCTATCAAATGTGTCCTTCATTTCCTGCTCTTTCCATGACTGTGGAGAGGAGATGATTTCTCAAGTTTCAGAGATTTTGAAGGTCACAAAAAGACAACTATGATGATCCTGCATGGTATACATTTAATTATAATCACTGCATGGTTGTTACCATCCTCACAACCCACAGAAGTGCCATCATTTTCCCTACTTGGTGCATATTCTCTGTAGCCTTGAGAATTTAATATAATTAATACTACACCACTACATGGGCATTTATTTAGATTTTCACTGGTACAGGGATATTAAAAATAGCTTTAAAACCGCAAATACTCCTTTTGTATCTCTCAGGCATAAACCTCTGCAATAATTACATTTATAAAAGCAGTTAAAATGAACTAAAATAAGTCCTGTAACTTTTTAGTGATGCAGCTTTAGTGATGAGCACTTCAACAAGTTAACACATTAATGCACTTCCTCAATATTTACTGCTGTGATAAATCAATTCTAAATGTAAACCACAGAGGTAATTGACTAAAGTGCTTTTCAAATTTATTACTTTGGACCTGATTACAGAAGTTGTCAACTGTGCTGGGGGGAAGTCTTTAGAAAAAAAATTTGTACTTGTTCTTAACAGAAACAGAACAGTAAAATATGGCAAATAAACCCCCGCTCTGAAATGTTATGGTGTCTATTGCATACAAAATAGTGATTTTTAAATTTAAAAAATATTTATTGGGGGGTGGAGGAGTGGGGATGGGGGGTGCGAAGAGGAGAATTAATTTTTCAGTCTCATTCTGCCACTCTTTGAAGGTCATGAAGGTTCAGTTCTACACTCAATTCTTAGACCTTGAGAAGTCCTGAAAATTTGGAGCATCATATATTCCATCCTGTTTTAACTGAGATGAGATCAGCTATTCTTAAAATTATTGAGTCAACTGGTAATTTGGTGTAATTTCAAATTTTTTATATTTTCTAAGATGGAAATCAAAATAACCTTTTGAATGTGAGGCCAAAGCACGGTTTTAAAATAGGAAAGATATTATGAAAAGTTATTTAATCCTACCAATAATTAAAAAATCTATAGAATAAGATGAAACATGGACTCACTCTTTTGTTAAGACAGACCACAGGCCACAGGCTGCAGCCCAGAGTGCAGCAGCAGCACAGGCAGCCACAGAGCAGCCACTTCACATTGACAGGGAGGTTCTTCCTCAGGCAGGCGTTCACTCGACTGATGCTGGTCTTGAATTCCTCAGGGGCCACCTGCAACAGAAGGGCTCAACTTCAGAGAGGGCCAGCACAGGTGTATTTTCTCAGAAATTGCCTCTACAGGTTAAAATGAAACAGGAAATGACACAATCTTCTAAAGCACTGGTCACCCAGTGAGCCTGAAAAGTCATTTTCCTGCAACAAATTCATTTCTGGTGTGTGCACTGCACAAACCTGAGTTCAAAAGCCAAACATCTTTTAGATGAGCAGCCTCATCTGTAATTTATTGCAGCAGTAATTAATAAATGGGCCTGAACACACAATGGGCCCTGACAAAATCAGAACTGGGACACAGCTGGGCAATACATGCACTGGCTACACTGAGCAAAACCACAGAAGAATGACAGATGTCTGCTCTCCAAGGGAATGGGGGAGCATTGCAGTAAAAATAGGTACCACAGAAAGGAAGAATATTTTCCAAATTAGTGTCACACCAATCTAAGTCTACACTGTGCCTGGGTGAAGGTTCTGTCCACAAATAACTTCCTGAAGTGGCCCATAATTAAGCCACAACTTCCCTTGTGGCTGCTTCCTAAAATAGGGAAGCCTAGAAAGAAATACACTGGATTGTATTTAAGGCAGAGCAAGGCACCTTGTACAGGGTTAGAAATAAAGTTTACTTATTGAAAACTAGCTTTTTGAAATTAAGAAATAAGTATTTTATAACTGTATTGCCACTGCAGAGTCACAGTGGAAGCCCCAGCTCAGAAAGGAGCTCTTTTCTCCAATAACTTCATTTCTCACCTACTTACATACCCCAAATCTCTCATTTCCCTACAGAATCCAAGTCACTTCCATCTGACAAGTCAAACACGGATTTGAGGCAGTGACTCCGAGATGACACCCTTGACTCTAACAAAATCCAGCATTCAAATACACAAAGCAGAATAAATTAGGACCAGGCAGGCACAACTCAGAACAATGAAAAACCCCATCCTTCCTACCTCCTTGCCATGTTGATGCAAATCCCCAGTGTGAGTCTGTACACAAAGCTGTGCAAGTGCTCCACAACCCCCACCCAAGCCAGCCCAACTCTGCTCATCTGACTCTGCAAACAAGGGCAGCAACGCCAACAAAAGTTCATTTAATGACAAAGATCCTTTTCAGCAGGGGCAAAGCCACTGGGCAGGAAATGGAGAGGACCTGATGCTGCTGCCCCTGCCTATTGAGCTGAATTCTTTAAAGCATTGCAGGGAAGGGAGTAAATAAATACATCTGTTTCCTGACCATTCAGGTCACCAGGCACTACAGAGTCAGAGGGCAGCTGGGCTTGCACACCAGCCAGGCCTACAGTTAATAACATGAGAACATAATTTGTGATTATTTTATAACAGGAATTAATAAATACATAGAAAGTAATTATTTTGCCCCCTCCCATATTAAATAGACTGTTTTGTTTTACATCCACAAATGAAGCAACTAAAAACATTGTCTGTTTTACACGAGACACATTAGTTTAGGAAAAAAGAAATAAAATGATCAAAGAAAACCCCTGAGATCCTTTGTAGTGGGACATCTGCTATGAAAAAAATCCCATTGTAATGTGGCAAACTATCCTGTACTTGCATGTCTCTAGAACAAGGTTTTATGGATTTCTTTGCCAGTGCCAAATCTTGTACTGGGATATAATAAATACCAGATGCACAGAGCAAAACCATTTCATCTTCAATGTGGGAGAGTGTTTTGTAGGAAAGAACATCTGGGCTGGTGGTTTCCAGTAACCTCAGGCAGCTGCTGCAGTCACTGCCTCAAAGTAAACTGAGATTCCTACATTAATTGGCATTTTCAACTCCTAAGGAAATTTCCATGGGCCTTATATTTGGATACCTACAAATGGCACTTTCTTTGATAAATCTTTTAGAATTTTATATTCTGTTTATGTGAAATATAAAAATAAGTAGGTTTTTTTTTTCCTAGAACTCATTTATACTTTTGTAATGAAACTCCCTAGGAAAAGAGAATGTTTCCTTTTCCTTCAGACACAAAGTTTACTGGACTTTGACAGCAACACAGCCCAACCTCCAAATCCAGCTGAACAAACTTGCCAAAGACAATGGAATGGCACAGCCCAGAATTTAGCTTAACAAGAATAATCCTTATCAGTGGTAACATCCAACACAAAGAGAACTCAACCAGATTCTCAGATCACAGATGGCATAAAAATTTGGGACCTAAGAAGAAAGCCTAGGGAGATTCCCTTTCCTGTGATAATTTCTAGGGAGTCACTGTTCACATCAGGTTAACATGTTCCTACATTTTAAGATGAAAGGTGAAGTATTCTCATTCCTGCAGAGCAAATGGCTAAACCAGAAACCAATTTTGAATGCCACTAAGCAAAAGAAAATTCCCATTTCAGGAGTTTTGGTTTGATGTTTATCTTACTACAATAATATGAAAACACCACTACCAAATATTTTCACCAAATATTTTCAAGTAAAGGTGAATCTCTTGACTACGACATGAGATGAAATTACTTAGGATGCTTTTGACTAACCCCAACTATTGGATTGTTTCTGGCTTTAGGAAACCAAACCACAACAAATATTTCTGTCACTTATGACACATATTCATCTGAAACTAAAGGAACTGGAGAACAGGATAAGCCTCATGTTGTGATAAAAAGAACAAATCACAATAGTTTATAGCTCAGTGACAGTTAAGCAATGTTTCGCAGTGATTAAGAAAAAAATACCTGTAAATAATTGTTCTAATCTAATAATGAAACTGAATACAAATGAAAGTCACCACAGAACTGTTGATTTTCTAACACAATTTTAACTCCTGCCTTCTTGCAGGTACAGCTTTTGAAAGGTGTATGTGAAAGGGCTGACGAATTTCAAATAAACAGAATTACCAGCTCCTCCTGCACAAAGACAGCTCCCTAAGAAAGCTCAGTTTTGAGTAATTCTGGAAATCTATTGGAGAGTTTGTGTCTGGCTCTTGAAAAGAATGAGATAAGCACTTTGCTCCTGGCTGTGCTGTACACCTTAGGAAGGGACACTAGCTCCTTTTAGGGGGGAAAAAACAAAACCAAAAAAAAAACATAAAAGGAAAGGAGGGGGTGTCATAATATTTTACAACAGGATGCAGAGGATCTCCAAACACAGGAAGGGAGCCAGCAAGGCCCAGCAGGCCTGATCTTTCTCCTTCAATCACCATGATCAGCAGCCCTATCAATCACACGGCACAACGGCACCACAATGCCCAGCCCTCACTTTATGGCTCCCCCTGCCCTGCACTGCACACTCCTCTCTGGGCAGGACCCCTTTTGTTTCAAGATCAGAGCAGGAAATTCCACTTTTCCCCTTCAGGATCACTGCCTCCATCATCTTCTGGTCACCTGGAGCAGTGTGTGCTACTGTGCTCACTATCACAGAGAATATTTTGTTAAAAGCTTGTTTAAGAGAATTAATAATCCCGTAAACCTGTAGCACACAGAATTTAAATTTAACCAGCACTCCAATTTAGGCCAAGGTCCAATTACATTATTAAAAGTTAAATATTGCCTCTGTATTAAGTGTAGTCAAATCTTTTCTTAATGTTCCTCTGAAACAAAGTCTGGCTTGGGGTTTACAAACCAGGTCAGTTTCTGTCTCATCCTGCAAGACAAATATTAATCCAATTGAACTAGCTACGCCAAACATCTGATGTACCTGGGATATGCCTTTCCTTTATTATTTTATTGTCTATGCTTTACCCTTAAATGTACACATTCACCTCTCCCAAGGAAAGCAACAAATGAAGTCTCAAACACTGAAGATGTAATTACAAGCATGTAGCTCTAGGCTAACCTACAACAGCTATGCAGTGTCTGTAAAAACTGGAGACTGAGAAAATGGGTGAAGGAGGAGGGGGATTCCAGATTTCAGAAGAAGAAAATCAAAAAGTTTGCTGCCATCACTATGTGGATGGGCAAACTGAGGGCAGAAAGCTTAAGGAAATTACTAATACAAGAATGTGGCACAAATCCCAAAAGTTTGTGCTTCTGGGAGAAAGGTGTAGCTACAGAGTCTTCTCTAATTAGGATTTTCAAACTGCTTTAAAAACCTACATCTTTTACATCTGTATTTATTCAAAAGAAAACCAGTTCCACCAAGAAATCCATCCAGCCCATCTAATGGCTTCATCCTTACACTCCATTAGCAGATGGGATTTATTATTAATATCAATTCACAGGAAACAGCAAAGCCATCCAACTTAATGTTACACAGGCAATATGAATAAACAATGACATTGTCTTAGAGTAGCTAAGGAGCAATGCAAATTCAGAGTAAACATTTTAATCCAAATTTGTAAATATAAACAGTCACTGTTATTCATAAAATTTGATTTAATAAAAAACAAAAAAAAATACATTTTAACAGCAGAGGATGTTAAAGCGGAGTCTCAGTTGACTATGGTATTGATTATTGTGAATTACTTAACAGGGTATTTGAAGAAAAACTTCTTACTGGAAAAAAAATACTGAACTTTCATTTTCAATAGGGATTAAGATGATTGACTGCCTCAACCAGAGAAAGAAGAAAATTCTTTATTTCTTGCAATTGACTGAAGTATTAAAAACTGAAAGTCCCATATTAAAAACTGGTTTTTAATGTCTTTCATAGCAGTTCTGACAGGCAGGAAGAAAAATGTGTTTACTATCTTATTTCATTGGTGTTCTCCCCTGACAAAAGGGAATTCACTTCCTTGCTCAGAAAGCCCCTCAAATCCACAAGACAACAGAACACCAAGATTCTCAACAGAGGAGCATCCCTGTATACAGCAAATCTCTACCCATGCCACTCCTGTAGCACTGATCACACCCACAGAACAAGAAGGGTAAATGCTTACAGAAGAATTTCCTCTTTTCTGTCTCTGCTAAATTATGTCCAAGCACTCAAGTGAACTTTAAATTAAGCTTTTGTTCACTGTCTATTTAACAAGAGGAGGACAGTCAAGTGGAAAATGTGACAGCCACTGATGCTGGTATTAAAAAGTATAGGCCTGGTTGTAGGTTGGTTTTTTTAATAACCCAAATATATTTTAGAGAGACAGAAAGAGATGAAATAATATCATTAAATTTAGTTTTAATCTTTCTTGCCTGGGATTTTCTACAGGCTTATTTATAATAAACTACAAGTCGAGAAGAAGAACATAAAAATAGTTTTTTCCAGAATGTATTGTGGCTGTTCAGTGATCCGAAAGAGCTTCCCAGAGGAGAATAAGCCTCAGACAAGGTGGTGAAATGCAAAATGTTGTCAGCAGCCCTCACACTGGAATCAGTAGAATTTGTCTGAGCTCAGTGAGATCCTAAAATTCCCAGGCTGATTTTCAGCACCCAAAAACTCCAAGCAGAACCTGCTTTTCAGGGGTACTGCTGCCAGAACAGATGGACAACCTCAACACAAGGGTTTTATTCATTGTACTCTGGTGTGAAAATGCAGGAGGAGAAAGCCCAGATGGATCTGGCAGAAGCAGGAGCAACCACTCAGCTGTGTTTAGTGGATTGTTGGTATGACTCAACCTCTGCAAGGGGCTGCAGAGGGAGTGCAGCTCTATGGGATGACATGAGACAAAGTAGAAAGAGCCAAATAAACTTTATTCTTCCCAAATTCTGGAAAAGATACACGAGGGATATATAAATCAAAGCAAAAACAAAGCACTAGACACTGAAACAGCAAGAAGAAAAAAAAAAATCAAGAGAAAAAGAATTAAGCAATTAAAAGATTAAAAAAATACAATTACAAAAATTATTTAAAACTAAGAATTAAGTGAAGGTTGAATTAATAGCTACAAATTACAGTTTCTTACACTTGCATTAAGTAAGATGACAGGACTCCAGAGAAAGCAAGAGACTTGTGTCACCACTAATTTTCAGAACTAAATGGTATTTGTGAAAATGTACTAAAAACCTACTTAATTTGTAGACTTAACACTATGTTTTGTTCTGTAAAGCTTCAGATAAAACAGATTCACTTCCAAAGATTTGTCTAAACAAACTCAAGGCTTGGCAGGCATACTCAGAAGAGAGGTCTAGTATTTGTACTGATTTAATTCACCCAGGAGGGAGCACAAACTCCAGGTATTTAAAAAGCAAGGTTAAGTGAGTGTTGCTTTCATGTCTGCATGGAAACAGTCAGATCCATGGTAAGCTTTGCTGTGTTTGGAATGTCCATAATAGTAACAATCACAGCAAATCCTCCCTTCTTTTTTCCAGCTTACACTGAGGAACTGGGCAGGGAGCAGCTGGGTCACACAGGCCACAGGTAACAGTTTTTAGTGGGTTCATGCTCAAAATATCCAACACAGAAACCACTGGATGCACTGGCTCCTCCCATTGAAAAGAACAGTTTAATCTCACACTTACCTTCCCTGTCAGAACAGAAGGAAATTCTGTATCAAACTTGTTGCTCAAGCCAAACCTTGAAAACAAAAGAGACAAACAAAATATATTCCACCTAACTTACTTTGTTTCCCTTAACAAAAAAAATGTAATAAGAGTTTTTACTTTAAAAAGAAACCACTATTAATTTCTTTTGCCCTTACATTTGCATTATTTCATGAGCTTTTGGTTTAAGTTAATACAAGGTCTCATGTGCCAGTCACTCATTTCCAGACAGAAACACAGCTTGGTGCCTTACTTCATGCCTTACTCCAGAAGTGCAAAAATTCTTTTCCAATTGGATGGCAGCAAGTTTAAATCTTTGACTTTTGTAAGAAAAAACCCTCCAGCTATAAAATCCCAGGTTTAACAACCCTTTTACTTTCTTACACGTGCAATTGCGCCACATGCGACAGATGAAGTTTGTTTTAAGAAACCCATTCATCATCATCTTAGAAATTTATAACCATGTGGTTTTAAAAACTTCCTTTGGGCAGATTTAAGGTACCTCGTAAGAGCCTACACAAAGGAGACTTCTACAACAACTGTGAACTTCAAGAAAATTAAGTTTTGGGTACCACTGTGGCTGCTCTTCACTGAACTCTTTTGGGGTTTGAGCAAAAGGTTTTCATTATAAGCAGTGAAAGCTCCAGGGAGCTGGATTTGGCTTGTAAACCTGTTACCACTTATTCCAAAACCCCTAAACCTTTAAAATTCAGTAATTTAACAAAATACAGCAGCAGCTGGCCCTCAGCTACAATCTGTATGTTTGATGAAAGTTAAATATATTGTACATCAAGTCAGCTCTGCTGAACTATCTCCTGAGTATGTGTTAAAAAAAAAAATACCTGAAAGAATCACTGCCAAAAAGAAGGAGCACAAATACATCTGGTATTGTAGTAGTTACTGAAGAAACAAACTTTGCTTTGAGTCAAACTGACACCTGCCATACTCCAAACTGGTCCCTGGTACCAATACCACTATGACTGAAATAACACAGAATTGTGGAATGGTTTGGGTTGGAAGGGACCTTAAAGGTTCCAACACCTTCTCTTGGACATCAGTGCCCATCATTAGATCACACATACACACTCCTGTGCACTCTGTAATACCCCAGACAATGGAAATTGTTCCCAAGTAACAAAAAGTCAAAACAACCTTCAAGAGAACAGAAGAACTCGTACTGTCTCTAGAAATCCAGTAACTGAAATGTTTGCCAACAACACTGGTGAAGATCAGTCCAGTCCTTTGATGAATCATTTAAGTTAGAGCCTCTTGTAAAGAGCAGTAGCTGTGTAAAACATTACAAAAACCCCAAACAGTAAAAACAGTAAGATTTCAGGCAAGTACAAAGGTTACTAACATAGCACATTTCCATTCTCTTTGTAATCTGGCAAGGCAGCCTCCACATTTTGTACCTTTTCAAGCTGAAATCTTCCAGGTTTTGTAATGTTACATATTTAGTTTTAAGGAAGCTTACTTAGAGAGCAATGAAGTAGTCTTTTCAGTCTTAAAAAAAAAGACTAAAATTATAAAGCTTGCTTTGAGGAACACAAGAGTTTTCAGTGCAGCTGCAATGGAGCAACCTGGAATGATCACAAAGTAGAAGCAATCAGACAACACTATAAAAGAACTACTGGAAAATTCAAGAATTATTTACTCTACCCATCTAACAGACCAATTCCACTAAATCATGCCAAAGGTCCATCTTGTCCACAACACCGATTTTTACAGTGGCCAGGAGCAGCAGCTTAGGAAACAGCAAAATGGAAAAAAAAAAAGCAAACATGTACCAGCTGTTCCTCAGAACCTTCCTCTGACCGTCCACAATTCAGAGTTCAAACACTTCCTAAGCCACAGGTAGTGCCTTTTATCTCATTGATCAAATACACTCATAAAAATTCCCATTGCACCCCAATTTCCATAAAGAACAAGATAATTAGTGCTTTCTGATTAATAAATCTGATTAGGAATGCAAGATCACAATGTGGTTTGGGTTCAATTTCAAAGCTGATGTCATGAAACATATTCAAACACCCAAATTTTTATTAGTTGCTAAAACACTCTCTTCAATTGCAGCACATCCAGGAAACCCGAGTTACAGAAAGGTTTCTCTCACACTAACACCTGTGAGTGACTAAGGAATATAACTTTACATTTTAACTACGCTTAAAATACTATACTTGGTCAGAATCACTGATGGCCTTTAGCACAGTTTTACCAAAACTAGAAGTTTTACAGACTATTCTGTGATTATTTACTACAGGGCTTAGAAATATTAAACTCCTGTTAGATGGTGGCTCAACAACCAAATAAAATAAAAAGATTGAAGCAGGATGTTATACAGTTGTACAACTTTACAGGCAACTTTGTGAAAGTACTGAAGTGTTATTAGAACCTTTCATGTAAAGAAGTTAAAATCTAAAGTATTGATCAAGAGGTATTTAACTTAATTAGACTTCCTAAAACAGACTAGTGATCTAGCATGAGCAGCCTATGATCTTCTAAACTTCAGCATCATGATTAAAAATCATGATAACATAAATTCCAGTAGCTGTCCCTTAAGTCATTTAAACCAGCAGTTGGTGGTGATTTATTTCTGGGCCAGTTCTGTGACTCCTCAGTGCAAGCTGCCCAAAGTGTAACATTTAGAATTTCAGATCAGTCACCCACGTCCTGTGGTTGCACTTTTCTCACTGCATGGCAAGTACCTCTAAGAGCCAGGCACTGTCACCTAGAGGCTGCAACAGAACTAGGATGACCTCACTTGCCAGTTCTGGCCTTCTTTCCCTGTTTTCATGGATGGCATCAGGAAAATCCCATCACCTCATTTTCCCCCATCTGTAGAGTGGTGAGAACACAACTTGTCCTAGGGAGCTATAATAAGAGAAATGCATAAATCCCTCAGTTAAAGGCTGAAATGAACATCCTGAATCACCAGTTGCAAACCTCACCTGCAACAGGTACCTCAAGATAACGTTTTTTTATTAGTTTACAAAGCAGGAGCTCAGGTTTTCTGTCCCAGAACTGAAACAGGAAGAGTTTGGAAATGCTTTCTTACATCTAGAAGAGAATATTTCAAGGTGCTTTGCCTTTTTATTTTGTTTGACTTAAACTTCACCTCATTCTCAGTTCTCCCACTCCTGTATTTATAGATAGTAATCAGCCTTACTAGACTGCACAAGTTAAACCTGTTAAGTGAAGCTCTTGGAGAGCACAGTTTCTAACACAGCTCCTTTCCCCACACCTAATCCAGGTTATGTTTAACCTCTCTGCAAGAGTGGAGCTCAGATCCCACACTGCTCTTTATGAGGTATCAGCTGAGTTTTGGCCAACATTAGAGGGTAAAGATGACATTCCTCAAGAGCCCTGAAATGAAATCTCCTTGAACATTTAACATTCCCCAGTTCAGAACATTTTCCTGTGCAGCCAACAGAACTATCCAAGAATCCTTACCCACGGATGATGTTTTGGAAAATTAAGTCTTTGGTAACGGGTGGAAAGCTGAGGTCATTTGCTATTTTAAATTTGTGGAAGGTGGAACAATATCAAATAATACTCAAATGTTATCTCAACTGGCTCTTCCTTCCCCAGCTGATGAAAATAAACTTTTCATTAGCACCTGGACTGTGGGTCCCTGGGGCACTCCAACAGAAAACAGGCTAGAACACCAAAAGTTAACTTCTAGCCAAGACTAGGAGGCTTGCAGACTTCAGCAGGAAGCTGGAAACTAATGGCAAAAATATGTTTAATGGCTATTTCATTACCTCATTACCATCCATCCACATGGACTTAATGACATGGAAAAATTATAGCAGATAAACACAACCCTATAACCAGGTTACAGTTTGCTTACTGCTCTGTTTTTGGAAGTTATTGCCTTTGCTTTGCTAGGCATGACTCAGTCTTCACTACAAATGTCTGTATGGAGATTCTTGGATGTACCAATCAGTCACACTATGGAAGAAACAGCAGACAAAGTGTTTATAACTCATCAAAATGGAACTGCAGAAGAAAAGGCATTTCCTAGGACCTAGTAATTTATCTGTGCTAAAATTTAAAAGCTTTCAAAAACAATAAGTATGACAGAATTTTTTCAAAGAATCCTGGACAAGATGAACATAGATTTTGCTAACCATTTTTACACATGTCTTCTCTGACTAAAATAAAACAAGGACACTTCAGATGGTCACTCTTACCACACACAGGGGTAGAAGGGCTGGCAAAATAAAGTGGGAAAACCAAGATCCTGCTAAAATACCCTCACAAAACTCATTAAATTTATATTAAGTACTGTTGGATACTGCAGAATAGTTGCTCTGTTAGAGCAAGCAGCTCACTGACAAGGTCATAAGAATAAAAAGTCTCTTCCAAGAAACTAACAGTGTTTGAGTCTACCGACTTAGGAGTTTCAAAAGAGAACTGGATATGAAAAGCTGAAGCAGATGACCCTGGAATTTGAGAATTATCCTTTATCTAAAAGCTGAAAGTATTCAAGAAGGCCAATGTCAGGTGAGGAACAGGAGACATCTGAAACAAAAATCCAAAGAAAACAATGGCTTTATGAAGATAATTGTTTTTCTTTTTGTAATAATGTCTGACTTGTAAGGACAGACCTTTTCATTAGCAGTAGCCCAGACAGGTTCAGCAAACAAACCCAGGTTTTCCTGGATGCCATTTCTCCCTTCAGTAACTGGAACAGGCTGCTTCTGCAGCCAACTAATTTCAAAAACAGCAGCCTCTGTGTGATCAAAAAGTGACAGTTCCAACACACAAACTCTTTGGGAAGCAAACCAGTTCCCATTTAACAAGTCAGCATTATGCACTCCAGTGCCCAGGGTTTACTTGCATTTTATTGGTAACATCCAATAACTGTTTTTATCAGTATAAGGAGATTTAAAAATACAGCATGAGCTGATAAAAGCTGCCTCCTATCATGCAGGTAGGTCCTGTTACAGGAAGAAAGCTGAGACGGATGGGAGAAAGGGAAAATACACTGGATGTGGATTCAGTTCAGGTGGTTACAAGGGCATCTAGCCAGCTAAGGATTTCCACTTCCCTGACAATAGTGCTTTTCTTTGATGTAAACATCATTAATTCTTGGAGATGCTCCTGCCCATCCCAAAAAGATGCTGGAGCCTAGAAGGAACTGTAAGTAACATCACTAACAAAAAAAAAAATCACAGAAAGGAAAGCAGATGAGTGTGTAATGTTTTTTTCCAGTTCAGCACTTCAAATCAGGTAGCTCCTAAGATGGGTATTTGGTATTCTGAGCATCTTGCTTGTGTTCCACCTCTCCTTTAGTCAGGCCAGCAGCTATTTGGGGTGAGGACACAAAGAAATTCCATCTGCACGAGCAAATGCACTGCGGTGCAGCAGAGCAACTCCCCACTGGCACCAGCTCAATGCAACCCTGATCCAGGCTTCCATGAGAACACAGCTCCAACACCACTTCCCATGGCATGGGAGAGCCTTCCCCACCCAGTGCTTTTGCTGCAGGGACTTAGATCACACTGCACCTATTTACAGAGAGAAATGTGAATTTTATGCAATCCAAAGACAGAGCCAAAGCAACACAAGCTTGGTAGGTCTTTGCAATACATACACGTCAATACCCCCCTCCCATGAAAATTAACATGACAACCAACAACTTGTTAAGGATGCACTCACTACTATTAATTCTTCAGCTTGCTGGAGCAGGAATACTAAGAAAATCCCTACTAGTAAACATTACATATAAGGAAACACAGCTTGCTCGTCTTCTGTTCAACTGTTTAAATGAGCAGCAAACATTCTGGCTCACGCTGTGTTCCAGTGATAAAAGCACTCAATCTAAACCAAACTCTCAACTAAGTTTGGGGCAGATAAAGTACAGCACGGGCAGGAGCCTCCTCTGCAGTGCAGTGTGGGGGCTCTCTGGCTCGGCTGTGGCACACAAGGGTCACAGCGAGATGGTTGGAACAGGCTGTTCGTCCTCGCATCGCCTGGACTTTGCTTTTTATCTAACAAATTGTTTGGATAAAGAGGAGCAACCAGGGAGGGCTGCCAGGGATGCGCTGCAGCCTCTGCACCCAACAGCCAACTCCGGCTGCTCATTCACGGCCGGGGCTTTCGTCGAGCTACCGAAAAATACCCCGTTCACAGCAAGGTTCCCCTCACGGAGGGGAGCGGGCGCAGGGCTCTGGGCCCCGCGGGGCGGGAGGCCGGGGCCCACAGGGCCGGGGCGCGGTGCCCCCGCTGCCCTCACCCCACCCGGCGCTCCCGCCCGGCTCCTCCGCCCCGCCACACCGGCCCCTCACGCTGCCCCCGCTCCTTCCTTACACGGTGATGTGCCCGGCGCCCCGTACCGCTACGGGATCGGGCGCGTCGCGGGGCCGGGGCAGCTCCTGGCTCCGCACCACGGGCTCGGGCTCATCCTGCTCCTCCTCGTCCTCCTCCTCCAGCTCGTAGATCGTGTCGAAGTCCGCCATATTGGGCAGCAGGACGCTCATCGCCGGCCCTCCCGCCGCGCCTGCGCAGCGCGCGCCGGGGGCGGGGCCGCGCCTCGGCCGGGGCGGCGGGCGGGCGGGCAGCGCGCAGGCGCAGCGCGGCTGTGGCGGCGCGGCTGTGGCGGCGCTGAGGGGAGCGGCGCGGGGCTGGCCGCGTCACCCCCCGCCGGCGGTGGGCAGCGGCTTTGCGGCCGCTGTGGGTGGCCGGAGGCGGCCGCTCAGGTGCGGGTGTGCCCGCCCGCCCCTCGCCGCTCCCGGGCGGCGGGTAACGAGCCGGCACGAGGAGCTGCTGAGAAAGGAGTTAGCGCTGGTGGTTATAGCGGAGCCGGAATAACCTTATGGAACTCTGAACTTGTTTTCAGAGCCTCCCTCTAAGCCTTCCGTGTACAAGAAGCGGGATATCTCCGCTACCGTTAGCGTTTATAACTCCCCCGGCCTCCCTTCCCTCACCTCAGGTGCACGACGGTCTCGAGGCGGCGCGAGCGGCTCCTGAGGGGAGTTTTAATTTGCTGCTTACAGGGGAGCCGGATTAAAAACCTCACTGGACTTTAATTTGCTTAAAAAAAAAAAAAATCACCCCTGAACCTTCGGCGTACAAGGGACCTGAATACCTGAATATCTGTGCTGAATATACCGCATTTATAACTCCTCCGCGTGCCCCTTCCCGCCCCTCAGGCGCGCGAGCGGCTCCTGAGGGGAGGTGGGGACAGGTGCTGATCCTCCTTTATTTTAACGTCTTTTCCAGATGTGTTTCTGCCATGGTTTTAATAAAAACAGCCAGGTAGCGCTTTTTTCCCCTTCCCCTCCTGTTTGTGCCGGCTGTGTCGCTCCCCGCGGTACCTGAAGATAAGGAAAAGCGAGGGTTTTGGAGGTTTCTCGGAGTTTTGGGGTTTGTCGGTGGGTTTGGAAAGTGAGTTATGTACAGGGTAATGGGGTGGTGAGAGAGAAGAAAATTCACATAGGAACAGCAAAACTTGGGAAAAAATATTCTCTTAGAATACTTCAGGACAATACCCCCATCAGCACACAGGTGTAAGCTATTATTTGGGTAACAAGCACTTAATTACTTCCCTACTGCAAATGGAAAATAATCAAAAAACTACTGGTGTTTGTAATTGCAATAGAAGAATGAAAAACTAAATTATGAGCGGGTTGTTTCTTCTTCTTAGTGTTAGTGTAGCTCCTATAAAGTGTTGGCTCTGGTTTGTGTACAAATCAGAATTCCTGACCTCCAGGAACTCTAAGGAATGAGCTCACCTCCTCCTGCATGAGGTAAAAACGGGTCTCCATCCCTGTCTGTTGTTTCCAGGAAAATGTTTCCCTCATAAATAATTTTTATTGTTTTTCAGGAGTTTCTAGACTGCAGCAAAATGCAGGTGACTTGACAGTGGAAATTGTTGCCTCCGAAAGTAACATTTTATGAGCTACAGTTTTCTCAGTGCTGCATGCTCTTACTTCAGCACATTATCCATCTTATATGGAGCTGCAGGTAAATCACACTCTAAGCTAGGGGAAAAAATGAAGAGGCAAATTGTTATAAAATGAAATTTTGTTCTCCTATTTTTGTCAAAATACTTTATTCTTATTTAGTGTTGAATGTTGCAGTAAATTGCAGAGAAGGTAATTAATTGACCAAATACTGAAAATACATCCTGTTTAGAAACATGATAAAAAAGGAGGAAATTATTCTATACTTAAGGATATGATATTTTTTCTACTGATCTCATCTTTATGTAGACTTATAACCAATGGAAAGAAGGTGTTGAAACAACTCAAAGTTATATATAGGAGTATTAATAAGGTACTGGTCTTTATTTTACTCTCAGTTAAATTCTGGATGTTTGCCTTAACTGGTGTGAAATGCAAAAAGGTGAGTGTTGTAACTGAGAGCACTGGAAGAAATGACAGTTCTGATGCTGAGCATTTACATTGTGGGCTTTAATATTCAGTTGAGATTGTCTTGCTTGATGGCTGCTTTGGTGAACTGTCCCTGGGAAAGGTCCACAGAAAGATACAAAAATACAAGCACAGAATGGTCTGGGTTGAAAGGGGACTTTTAAGCCGTGGACAGGGACACCTTCCACCATGCAGGGTGCTCCAAGCCCCATCCAGCCTTGGCTTGGACACTTCAGAGCTTGCATGTGTTCAGTGTTTTTCCAATCAAAATGTCTTGAAAATTTCACAAGGATGAAAGAGTGAGGGGCAAGCAGAATGTGTGCTGGAAATAATAAAGTGAAATAAATCCCATGAACTTGTCTGCAAGGATGTACAGCTGTCACATTCAGCATGACAGTGGTGGCACTCAGGTGTTAGGGCAAGGTGTGGCGAACAGGAACACATTCAGCACAGTCTTGTGTTTAATCAAAAAACCTCCATTCATTAAAAGCATTTAATGCAACCTGGGTTTGGGTTTAATAAACAAGCCAATGTTACAGACATTTAAATGGACATTGTGCCACAAGGACACATGTGGTGTGGCATTAAGCTCCAAAGCAGGCGGTACAATAAATTGCTGAATTGAGTGTAAAATGAAGCATATATTACTGTGTGACCTCGTTATAATGAGGGTCTAGGTGTTAACAAAACAAGAAGTGTTTTTAATTGGAAAAGGTACTTTGCTATAGCATCTTCATTTTTAACAACTTGTGCTTTTAAATAGACTGAAGTCAAAGATCAGCTGAAGTTTCAGTAGATTTTTTTAATGTGTATGTGCTCTTTCCCCTAGGAACAATGACCATCTGGGTGAAAATAGACTATTTTAGAAAAAACACCTTTTGTGTCCCATGTCTGTATTTAAAGAATGTCTGTTTAGTATTGGGTTTGAGAGGTAAATACTACAGGGAAGTTTTTCAGCATGACTTATCAAACTTTATGGCTTCAAAGGAAGAAACAGAAGCTTCATTTTCAGTACTTCCTTTAGGATGCTGTTTATTTGATGAAACTATTATGCCATAAAAACGGAAAGATTCGTGAAGGATGATGGTCTCTGGCAACGTTTATCCACACAAATCACTTCCTTCTTGGAATCAGAAGTGCTATTATATAGACCATGAAACACAAAGAGCAGAAAAACAGGAGTTAAACCAAAGCACAGTATTAAAAACACTGTTGGGAGATCATGGAAAGGGAATGCTAATGGGCCTGAGAGATTCTGAGTCTTCTTCCAATGTCTTTTCCCCGTTTGTTCCACACAAATCATCACCACACAGGCATTCTTCAGGAGGAAGAACATGCAACACATGATGTCAGGTTGGCTCTCAGAATCTCCTCATTTCAGACAGGAAGAGGTTGTTGGATAATGGGAATGTGCTCTTGGGGTTTGGAGAATGTATTATAAGCCTGGTGGGCAAACCCTCATGCTTCTTGATCAGCTAATGCAAACTCTTTTCCCAAGGTGATTTACAAGTTCTCATTATTTTGTTCAGAAGTAGAAATGTGGAACTCATCAGGCAAATGTGGGTGTGCTCATTTGTTGAAGAAAGGCAAGTCAAGAGTTGCATGTGAGGTTCAATGAAACTGATTTTGTGATACAAATATGTTCTAATGTCTGGAAGGGTTATGGCTTTGTGCAGCTCTGTGCTGCCTATGCTGAAAATGCCTGATGTAGATTAAATTTCAAAAATAATCTAAGTTTCAAGTGGTTGTCAAGTTTCTGATCCAGGGTTTTTTTTTTGTTGTTGTTGTTTTTTTTTTTTTTTTGACCAGGATGGCTACTACAAACAGCCAATTAGGTGTTTAAATTATGCTGTCTTTGTAAAGTGATATTGTAATTATCTTATAATGAGGTACTTCCCTATTTCTAGTCTAAGCTATCTGTAAGTAGGGGCACATCTGTATTTTTCTTTATTTTCTCCCACTGATCAATATTTAGAAGCTAATTTATAAAGCAAATTTACAAAGTGGTGCTACACTGAGTGCCAGCAGGAGCAGTTTGTGCCAGAGGCCCTTCTTGATGAAGGATTTCTGGACAGTGGGACTAAGGAGAGCAGTTCTGCCAAAGGTTTGGCATCTCTCATAAGGAGTCTCATGGTTCAGATAAATGTCAGAAGGGGTTTGCTGGCTGCTGGAATTAGACAGTTGTGTGATGCAGAGTTTTCTTTTGATATCAGCATGGTGTTAAAGGGGCTCACTACCTTGCAAACTGGAACCACAAGTCAATCAGCTGAATTCAAACAGTGATGGTTTTCTATTTACATACACTGAGAAACAGGAAACTTGAAGAGCTTGGGGAAGAGACCCACTGGGTACAAAAGATGGCATTTGATTTATTATTATTTTAATTGCTTAACAGTGCTAAGGGAGAGTATAACTAAAGTCCCTGGAGCAGTCTTTAAAGGAAGGAAGAAAAATATTGAAAAATGTTATTTTTAGCCTTTAATGTTTCATCCATGTAAACACAAATTTAAATACAGGGGCTGATCACATCTGCTGAAGTTTCTCCTTCACAGAAGCAACGCTAACAGGTCAAACACAGCTGCCCAGAAAATGGTGGAATGCAAGGACTGTGTGGTGCCTCCATCCAAGTACACATCCCAATCTCGTGTTCCCATGCTGGCAGAGCATGACCATGGATGGGCTCCTGCCAGGCTGGCCTGGAGTCCTAAAGGGGCCTTTGAAATGTGCCAGCATGAAGTGCTCACTTTATATTTTGGTTTGGGATGATGTTTTCTGGCTCATGGCATAGCTGCAGTCTGATGAAGTGTCTAAGGCCTGCAAGAGGAAGGGTAAGGATTTTCTTTGAGCTGCTTGCCATTTTCCCCTCCCTCTGGCTGTCCTGAGGTAACTGTATGATGCTTGTACCCTCAACTGTCTGCTCTGTTTCTGCTAGCTGTTAAGTTCTGCACCTTTAAAACTAGTTCAGAGAGCAAAGGGAGAAAGAAGAAGCGAAGAGTTTGTTATCAAAAGCTGCACTTGCTCCCCAGCATCCTTCTCCTAGACTGTGTGGACAGCAGGGGAGAGCTCTCCTTTGTTTTTTAGTTAGTTTTTTTGCTAGCTAAGGCAGAGAAGTTCCCCAAACTGTGGTTTTTCTTTTTCTTAGAACAGTTCAAACCTGCTCTAGACTAAAAACCCAGAAAACCACCAAAATCTCACATCTGTAGCCCACCAGGCAGAGATGCTGCATTCCAGTGCTGGAGGGACTGATAATTGAGTGAGCCGAGCTGCACCTCACAAAAATTTTCTACCTTTGTCATGTCTTCAAAACAATGAGAAGATTGGTTGCTTTGTATTGTTCATTTTTTATGCTAGTAAATACCTATTAAATAAACAGTTTTTTCCACTTTTCTCCAAAGAAATCTTTCCCAAAACAAATTAAAAGAACTTATATTTGCTTTCTAAAAAAACCCCAACTCAAAAGTTTCCTCCAAAATTTGCCCTAAGCCAGGACACTCATCAGTATCTTCCTCCTGAGCTGATACTCTGCAATTAATCACTCTGATGGAGTTTACTAAAAAATATACTGATTATTCTAAAAGAGTTTAATAATTTTTCCTTAGATTATTTTGAAAAACAACTGTGCCACTGCACTTAGGTTGAGAGGGACATTATGATCCATATTGGGGGTAGTTATGCACAGCAAGAGAAAAGGAGAATAACTTCTTGACTTAACTGTAGTCAGAGAAGATAATCTGATCCACTCTGTAGTTTAGAGATCATTTTCTAGTAGATGAAAGAGATTCTCCCCTAAGTATTTATTAATATATGCTTGGGATATATTTAAAACACATTTGATTGATAAAATTTGGGATTAAAATCAAGAAAAAGAGAAACAGTTTTTATTGACAAGGCTGATACTAAACATGCCAGAAGATGTGCTTTGTATCCCATTCCAACTCTAAAAACATCTAAAATGGGCTCATTTAGAGTGATTCCTTTATCAGCTGTGCTGGTTCTGAGTGCAGTCAGTGGCTTCAGTGGCTCCTCTGAGCAGTTTGTCAGGGCAGGGTCGCGTTTCCTGACTGCCTGGAGCTTGGTTAGAATCTGCAAAATGGTGATTTGAATATGTTGAATGTGAACTTGGTAAATATCTGTTTCATTTCAATGTTGTCATAAATGAGGAGGGAAATCTGATTTCTAATACAGAAATATAATGACTGGTCTGTTGTGTGTTATAGCTGTACTTGCTATTCCTTCTTGTAGATGTGAAAACTGATCAGAGAAAAACAAATCTGAAAACTAGAAGTTTTCCTTCTCTCCATTTCTGTGCCACTGCTAAGCCTCACAAAAGCCCTCTCCTGGTTTCCATAGAAATGGCCTGTCTGCTGATTGGAGGTAAAGGTTCATTTCCCTTTCTTCTTGTATATGTAAAGTCTGAGTTTCCTGAGAGATTGTTTTATCCACTGCATCCTTCATGTATAGAAGGGCAACCCAGGTAGAGGGGCTGGTGGAACTGGGGAAACTTCCTCTCCCAAGGAAAAAAACTGGATTTATTTGACTGAAGAGCAGAGAAAAAAGGCTTGTGTGTGTCACATGTGCATTTCTGTGCATCGGAACAGAACCAGCTCTGTGTGTGCATGCTCCACAATGTGCTCTTGCTCCTATAATTTTCCTGTGATCCCACTGGAACATCAGCGAGCAGATTTAGGAGATCCTGAGTTAAAGCCATACAGATGTAGTCTCAATTCCTCACTGGGCTGAGTTTTATAACTATTTATATACACAAGATTTTCTGTTTACAGTTTGTTTGCATTAGAATACACCCATTTCTTTGAACCATATGATAGGAGATGACTAGAAAATGTATTGGGGAACCACCCACAAATTGTTTACTGTGAGTAAGGTCTTAATCTATGCTACAGGATTTCTTCCTAGTTTAGTTTGAGACATTTATGTCTACAAAAATAAAATTCAGAATTTAGTTCTGATGAGTGTTATTCTTCTAACTTTCAATAAAATTGCTTTCACTGAGTTACTCTAACAGAGTTATTTTAAAAATAAACAGGAAATCATGAGGCATATCCTCAAATTTGTTATCTAGTGTTTTGAATCCAGATGATGAGAGCTTTGACAATTCTGCCCATAGTGTTCAGTGCATTACTGATGCTCATTGACATGAAGAAAAGCAGAATTTATTCTGCTGTTTCTGAGATCGAGTTTGATGTTGCTGAAATAAGTGATATATTATTTTCATAATGCTGTTTTCTGTTTGTGTTCTGCTTTTTTCCCTTTTTATTACCTTTGCTCCCCTTGACATTTTCAGGAATATTAAATCTTCCCAATAGAGCCGTTTACTTCTATACTAGCAAAAAGGTCATCTTAAGAAATTCCAAAGAACAGTACTACTGAAGGGCTTGGGGATTTTTGTAGTGCTTTGGGTTTTCTTTCTACTTTTGCAGACTCATCACTTGTCTTTCAGATACCATTTCTACCTTCTCACCTGCCAACATGGAGCAGTAATTAAAGCAAACCCCGCTGTGATCATATCCTTCATTTGTGCTCTTTCAGGAGTGCCCATGAAGGGAACATTTATTTTGTCGTTGCTCAGCTGCAGGTGACAGCTTCAAAATACCCTCTCAGCTACTTTGGGAGAGTTGTTGCCTTCAGTCCCAAATAAGTGCCAGGGATAAAATCAGTGGCCCGAGACTGCTCCTGTTTCACTTCCAATGGTTAAAGACATCACACAGATTCTTTATTTCCTTTTGGTGGTTTGCTTGTAGTAACAGTTCTGTTTCCATTCCATTTGTGCTCAGAATTTTGAGCAATAATATATGCAGTCCTAGAAAACTGAGGTAATACTTGTCTTCCAAATTTTCTGGCATTTCCTAACATACATGAGAAATTGCTGCGTTTCTTACAGAGGAACAAAACAGAGGAACAAATCTTGTCAGGTTTGGCATATTCTACATATGTAACTATTGCTTGAATACAATTACATAGGACAGAGATGATCTGTGTTACTTAATTAAATGTGATATATTGGTATAGCAACATTTTTGTGTTCTTGAGCATTTAAAAGTGTTTTAAATGGTTTTGCTGTTTTCAAAAAGTAGCATCCTTTTCAGTTCATTTAAGTGTAAATATTTATTAACATCTATGGTTTCCTCTAATTATATAAATGGAACAAACCAAACACACCCAGATTGTTATATTTTCTGCAATAGGGCTCTATTTTATAATCAGTCCTCTTAGTTTTCTGTGTATATGTATGATCAGACTAGAACTACCTGTACTGAATCTTCAGCTGTATCATTCTTTGTGTCAGTTTCTGAAGCAAATTACCTGCTAGCAAAGATACTGAAAGATAAATCTTAGCAATACAAAGTCCCTGAGATTTTTGCAATAATTAAAATATTTTGGTTATAGCCTCAGATTTCCTGCTTAGAAATCACCACTCTGAATGCAGATAAATGAAGATGGTCCCCTGTGAAATTGAGTTTCCAAGGTGGGGGGTGGCAGTGGTGGAGAAATCCAATCTTGCTTTTTCTTTTTTCCTGTTTTGTTTTTTCCTTTCTGTTCATTCTGAAACTATGACTTGATGAATGTCATTAGGCTGTAATCCATTTATTCCATGTGGTGGTGGGAACAGAGAATTTGACAGTTCATTTGGACTGAGTGAACCAGAGTCACTCTGAGCTGAGCCCCCGCTGCCATCAAACTGCGAGATTTTCTTCTTGATCATTTTTCTCTCTTTTGCTCGGCGATTCTGGAACCAGATTTTCACCTGGGGCATTATAAATGATACCTGATTAATTCAAAGTGCTACTCAACCTTTTACAGTAATCATAGCAATGAAAATGTAGGTAGGTTCAAAAACACTATTTAAGAAATTCAAAACGGACAAACAAAAATCCACGAGGGCAAAAAGCCCCAAAGCTAAAACCAAACCAAGAAACCCTCCAGAAACAAAATACTGAATTTGTACAGTGAAAAGATTTTGCATTATTCTGTATTAATTTTTGCCATAATAACAAATGAAAAATTGATATTTTTTCTTTATTGATTTCTTTTTTCCTTGGGCCTGGTGTTAAGTGAACAGACTGTGTTATATTTAGGAACACAGAAATCAGTGAACTCATTGAGACTCAGGCCACAGAGTTCATAATTTCATCTTTGCCATTGTCATAATTTAGGAAGCTGAAATTGTGGATTAATTGTGAAGATTGCTTTATTATCTATATTACAGGTTAATTCAAAGCCAAGTAGTGAGGGTTCTTTTTCTTCACTTATGTTGTGATTTTTGTGTGTGCATATACTCTTATTTATTTAAAAGCTTTGATTGTTTTTATTGTTGGAATATATATTTAAATATGTATTTTACAGATACATATGTATGGATATAGTATAAATAGATATATCAGCATTACTTAGACAGTCGATTTCCCAGGTTCCTTGTGTGGGTGAAAGACATCTCTATTTTCTTTCCTTATGTGAAAGTGTGAATGAGGAGGAACTTCTCTTTGTGTTTCCCTGCTTGCTAACTGTGTTCTTAATTCACAGTATTTGTTACAGCCTTTAAGGTGTGTTGAATACAATACAATATAGAAATTTGTACCCTTGCTTTGTGTTAAAAATCTCAGTGGTTTATATTTATTTTTTACTGTCTCTCTGGTATCGGCAGGAAGAAGCATTTAACTTTATCTGTCCTGTGGAAATGCTGATCAATTATGTATTTTGTCTATATTATATATGTGAAGGAACCTTACCAGGTAAAAAGGGGCTGGCATTAGGAGCAGCAGCTCTGTAAAAGGAAACTGCTGATTTTCTGCAGGATCACTGGTGACTCCAGGCATGTCTGTGTTCTAAATCAGCCAGCTTGCATAACATTAAGGTGGAGGTTGCAAATCTCTCATAATTGCAGTTCTCTGAAAATTTTCCAGTGCAGCTCTATCCTATTGTGTCTTTAGTCTATCCATGATAAACTTGGCTTTTGTCGTTCCTGCCTGGGAGCACTCACAGTCTGTGCAGTGCACTCTATACTATTTTGATTTGGGACTGAGCATCACTGCACTAAAGTATTTTTATAAAATCCCAGTGCTTGATCCTAAAACACCAGTGATTGTATCTACATTCCTATGCTTCCAGCCTCCATTGGTCCCTCTCTATTCTATGCTCTGCCACAGGCTGAGTGCAGAATCAGAGGAAGCCACTGAAAGAGGAACATGTTAAGAGATGTGAATGTGTATATTTAGAAAGAACAAAAGCTTGTAAAATTCTAAGAAGAAAGATCTCTACTTAATATTTACCTCAGGGCAATAATCTGGTTTTTAAATGAGATGACTAATTCAGTACCACCAAATCTGCCCTTCTCCTCCAGCTGTAGCAGAACCATTGCAATTCTGGAGGCTTGGATCCAGCAGTTATTATTTCCACACACTGCAGAGCTGTGCTTGGGAGAAGTGCTCTCCAACACAGGGATTTTAGGGAATTCTCATCCTGAATTCCTGTAGTGTCTGTATGAACAGGGCTAATGTAGCTGTGCCCTGCTCAGGAGCCTGGCTTTATCCAGGACAGAGATTAAAAATGTGCTAGACACGAGTGAAGGCAGAGCTGCTCTCCAAGAGAGCAACGATCCGAGTATGCGTTTGAACATTCCCTGGATGGATAGTCTTGGCTACACATATGTGTGGCAAAAAGAGATCCTGACTTGAAAATCCAAGGCTGTAAAACCCCCCTGAATACGCTGAAATCTGACAAAGGAAGAATGTAGCCTGTGGAAATTGTGGCAATATATTTGTAACAAAAAACCCCATAGATATTTCATTGGATTAAGTTTTAACTTTCCTGTCTTCCAGCTGAAATATATAAAATACTTTGGATTTTTTGCTGGCCATTATTTGGTGGAGTTTCACGAAGAAATAAACTTTTGAATTTAGTAACTCTTGGGACCATAGCTAAGATCCTATTAAGCTGAAGTATTTAAATTCCAGCTGGCTAGCAAGCTAGAAAGTAAGAATAACTATTTTAAACGTATAAGTTAACTCCTAATGTCGAGTTCTGTATAACTGGAGGGTTCTGTCAAATTAGCCTGTTAATACCTGTGGGGTTGTGTGTCAAATGCAGAGAGGCAGGAGGTGGCTGCTGCTGTGTCCCCTGGCAGTGGCAGTGCCTGGGCACTGGGGCACACCTGAGGGGTGCTCTCTGTACCTGTCTTTCGGAGAGTCCCAGGTTTGCTGCGAGTTCTGACTTCCTCCTGATTGTAATGTATCTGTTGCAGTGAAATTCCTTCTCTAATTCCAGTCTCTGGTGATCTGTGTAAACAACCCGGTACTTTTCTTTTGTTCTTGTTTTACCTGGTTAGAAAAGAAGGATTATTCATATATTGAATTGAATTTTCCATAGCAGCTTGCAAACATCTCAGGCATTTCCCAGACATTAATTAAACTACAGAATACTTGTATGGGATTGTTTACTGTGGTACAGAGGAGGAATAGAGGTGCAGGGTGAAATAACAGTGTTGGTTACCATAACTGCCCTTCCCTCTTTATTTTCCCTCTCTGTAAACATATATTTAAATGTGAAGCTCTTAAGTGATAAACACCCTGAAGCATCTTAAATAATTCATAGCAGTACAGAATTGGTGCTGGCTATATTAATCTCAAAGGAGTTTCATTTCAGTGCTCACTGCAGTGACTTCTGTGTCTGTGAGAACATAAATACCCAGGATTTCAAGACTGAGCCTCAGTCACAATTTGTGCAGTTGTATTGTGGCCTAATTCTTTATCTGAGTTTCTAAAAATTGCTTCTGTAGCACAAAGAGGTGTCCTACTAGAAATATTTTTCCTTTCTTGTGTGGCCATAGGATAAACTTAGAAGTTCAATAATAATTTAATGTACATTTTCATAAAGGGTCCAGTCTTGCAAGGTGCTGAGTGCCTGTAGGATATTCCTGAGGGTACTCTATGCTGGGCTTCCCTTTAGAGTTGAAGGTACTTGACAATTTGTAAGATGAGTCAATAAAATCTTGTAAAAGGATTTCAGGATCATCCTCTTTCTAATGTATAAAAGAAATATTCTTAGATATACCAGATAAATACTGTTATGAGAAGCATTACTAAATGTTTAGAATGCATCTCTCATTTAATATACTTTTTAAGCAATTCTTCATGTAATAATAATCCAGAGAGATCAGTTTTCAACTTATTTGTTCTCCTTTGCACTTTCAACAGCCAACTAGATAGTTTTCCTTTTTTCTTCTGATCTTCCCAGTTTTTTTTGATGTGAGTTTTCTGGGACAAACTGTAGGACAAAGACTCCTTTAAAGTGGTTCCCTAAAATCCATTGAGGTGTTAAGATGAAGCACACGCCACACAAAGGAGCGACAAGGAGATCTTATCAAGAACCCCTTTCACATTCAGAAACACAAGCCAATTGGTTTGGAATTTACAAGCCCTAAACAAATGTCAGACGCTTTCATCTTAGCAGAAGAAAAAGGGACAGAAATAGATGAAGGAATATTTTTTCCTCAGTTCTCTTTAATTTTGGACCAACACCAAGGATAGACTGGGATATTTTTATCTGAAGGTAGACATAACTGAAATAAGCAAATTAGGGATTTTTTCCCAAATCCTATGCCACTTCAACTTCCAGCATGGAAGATTTTCCTGCCTAAATTTGCAGGACTAAATCATTCAACTAAGTTTACTTTTTTCATGGTACAAATCTTTGGCTTTGAAATATTTGCCCTCAGTGATAGTTCTAATGCTAACAATAGTATAGATATTCAGGTTCCTTGTAAACTGAGGGCTTAGAGGGAATCTTTGAAAACAAGTTAAAATTCAACAAGGTTATTCCGGCCTCACTATAATCAGCAAATATAACCATGATTTGAGGGGGTGGAGAAAAGGACTAGTTTTCCCCATTCCCCTTGGTCATAAAATTCACAGAGTATTTCTTCTGAAGACAATAAAGCTGGGAGAAGGCCTCTTTATTTGCTGTGAAAATCATCACCCTTTCCGGCAATATAACTCCTGAAGAAAAGAGAGAGAAGGAAGAGACAAGACTGCATATCAAAGCAAAGTGAAGTGTTAAAAGGGTCTGTTGCCTCAATATGACAGATAGGCCTCAAAACCTCAGACAATGTAGGCCAGTGGAAAATACATGTCACAACTAATTTACAAAGAAAAATAAATTAGCATTAAAGCAGGGGCCTGGCCTTTTTTCCTGCTATTCTGTTTTGCTTTCTGGCCATGTTTCTGCTGTACTGTAATCTGAATTACTTGTACATCACAGCTTGTTTAAACAAAGACATAAAATGTGTTGACTATAGTTTAAAAAAAGTCCTGTGGCTGAGCTTGTAACATATGAAAATCATGTTGATCTTTTGTTTAGTCCTGTTGAAGTCCCTTCTCTTTCTGAGAAGGGTCACTCCCAGATGAAGTTTCAAAATCTTATACTAGGCCCTTTAGAGACCTTTTCAGTAAGTTTTACACTTTGAAGGTTTTCTTGCTCTCAGAAAATGCACATCTTGTCCTGTTGATTACACAAAGTTTAGAAAATAATTGGAAGTTCTGCTCCAGCATAACTGAAGTAGATGGCAGATTTTATAATAGATTTTCAGTAAAACCCAAATCAGACTGTCGGGAATTCTGTAGATGTTCTTTTCCTCACTTGGAGGGCCTGACTGGGAAGGTCTCTTTACCAAGCCCACTTTCCACGTTTATTTTTTTTTTTAAAAATTCTTATTGCCTTGTGTATTTGTGTGTAATGTTTGTGTGTTTGAAGTATAACCAGGGTTGCTTCTGAATATACGGATATGGTCCTTTAGTCAGAGAATGTTTCATTTCAAATCACATTTTATCTGTTGAAAGGACAGAGTACTTCTGTCTTTGATCTTGTTTCATCTTGAAGATTGACTTTATCAGGTAAATTTTCATTTCACTTCACCTGCAATTGAATTTTGTTTTGTATCAAATGCTAAATAAGAATACTGAATCAGAATGTAGTGTATTTAATAGAGTCTAAACAGAGAGGAAACAATTCCCACAGATATTTCCTCGCTCAAAATAATTCCCACTGTCTTTAGGACACTATTTCAAGAGGCTCTCTCATCTAATTAGATGTGTTGTGGTTTCTGTTACTCCATTCTGCTCACATACACTGATGTGTGTACACACTGGTGGAGTTAAGGACATACATGTTTATGCATAGAATTGTATTTGTAGAGTTTAGGGCTGTAATTCTGGGATTTTAAAGCAATGAACTTTATTAAGCAGTGATAACATTGAAGGAGAGAAACCAGTAGCTACTTGGATAAACCAAATAATATTATGGCAATAAGGAAAAACAGCAAGTGTGTTTCAAAGAGGGGTTATAATGGCATCAAGTCAGTTTTCTTCTAGAGAAAACACTGTTAAGTTGGTACAGAGCAGTGCATAATTCTAGCCATGTAATTTATTTGAATTCTCTTCCATTTACCACAATTTTTTTCTGTATCAGGATTAAATTTTTTTTTGTTTTGTTTTGTTTTTTTGTTTTTTTTTTAATGCCAGTGAAAGGCTAAATCTGTCTGGTACTTTTCTTGTTTTGCACAATTACCACGTTTGTACTTTACTCTCATGATCTCTTTTTTTAAGGTGGGTTGATGCCTTGCCTCACTTCTGTGAAGTCCTCGGCTGTTTTTAACACTTCAAAGGATTGGGTTCTAGGAATGCACAGCCTCAGGACATGCAGCTATTGATGGGCTCTGTTCCACCTGTCCCGAATGGTTCATAAAGTATTTCAGAATGTGTCTAAATCCTCTGTAAGCACTTTTGAGACTAGAGATTAATTTAGGCCCAAAACAGTGTCTCTGAATTGCAAATATATTTTATAAATTTGGACAAGTGCATGAGAAACTTTTCAGGGTCTTCCAAGACTGTTCAATAAGTGCAAAGCAAGGATTTAGATTAAGTGTGTTAAGCTTTAAGAATGTTATTCTTGAAGAATGCCACACGTTGAAAATTCTGCGCCAACATGACACAGCCAGGGCTGCCTCATTGACAGTCAGTAGTCTCAGCTGAATTTGATCTGCACTCAAGTCTTGCATCACTTCTACACCTGGCAATCTCCAATGATGTTAATGAAGTTACTGGGATTTACATGAGTATACAGAAGGGGGGAAAGCAGACTGAATCTGCCTGGCTTTGAAGGCCCTTGTAGAGGCTCCAAGTGGCAGGAGAGCATTGTGATATCCTAATATTCACCAGCATTTTATATTTAGTAACAGACGCAAAACAATGGGTGCCTGCTTTATAATTAAGAAACAATTTCTAGGCTAATTTTGCTCCTGTGTAGCAACCATTTGAAGAAGGATTTTCTCTGAGGCTGCAGTGCAGATTTTTCTGTGTCTTCTAAGATTGCTCCAATTGTAATTGCTCTGCTTTCTTTTGAGCATTTCTTTGATGCTCCCTAACACACACTTATTACTTTTAACTTGAACAACAGATTTAGCAAACCTTGCTACACCCAGTTTCCACCTTGGGAATATATATGGAAACATTCATCTGGCAGGCAGCTTGTGGCAAGAACAGGCACATCAGTGAGTGCCACTTGCAGAAAGGAGATTTTTAATTGTGTATTTGTGGAGGCTGAAAAATTCTGGCATGTAAGGAGAGTAAAACTGATGTGAAATTAAATGAGAAGGAAGCTTAACCAAGGAATTATGTGATCTGCAAACAAAATACTCCATGCTGATTGTTTGAGTCAGATTGCTTCTCTAGAAATATTTGTGCTCACCTAATAAATCTGGGCAGAAAAATATGAGACACAGGAAAATTGCAGAAAATTGCATAATCACTGCAGTTAGATCAGAGTGCATGGTTTTCTTTATAATTATTGAGAAGCCTATAAGGTTTAAAAAGATCAACCTGATTATATATTGATATCTCCCCTGCAGCACAAAATAACTACGTAGTATTTCTGTCTGTAACTGTTAAATGTTGCTGCATTGCTCCATAACACCTCTATGCCTATCATGTTTATCACACAAAATGCTTTACAGATTGTTCCAACAGGGATTCCTGGAGCTGAGCTCCAGCCGTGTCTGACCACATCAGCCATTCCACTACAGCAACCACAGCTTTTAAGCCTTTATGGGAGAAAGCGAAACTAGCACAAATTTAGTTAAAACTGCATTAAACAGCAGTAGGTTAAATAAATGTCATAATTGACCCACCAACCTCTGTGCTTCAAGTAAAGTTAATTATTTCTAAGCTCATTGATAGCAGAAGATGCTTTCTGAGGTTGGAAGTTGAATTTGCACTCACCAGCAGTGTTGGTTTGCACCGTTTTCCTCATCCACTCATAAGAGCTGTGCCTTTGGCTGTTGGGAGAGATTTGCTGGGCATTAATTGCATCTACAGGAGGTAACCCCGCAGCAGCAGCGGGGTGCAGGGCGCTGTAATCAGCAGAGCTGTAGGAGCCCTGGCCAGGGGACGAGCCATTGATGTGGGCAGCGGGCACGGCGCTGGAAGGGCCTGGGCCGTAGGCGCTCCAGTCCTCGCGCTGGGGGCCATAGTGGGAGCCCCAGGCTGGCGCCGGCTGCCCGTGGGTGTCCAGGGCTGGCACAGGGTGGTATCCCATGTAGTCGGAGTAGGCTGGAGCAGACACGAAGTTTTGCACAGGCAGGTTGTTGTTGGCCCTGGCAGATCCTGGGTACATGCTGGGCTCCTTCTCCAAGAGCGAGCTCACGTACATGGCTGTCCTAGACCATAAACACGGCGTCACAACATCTTGTTCCTCAGTGTCTTCTTTTACTGCTTAGAAAATATTTGAGTTTGGTTTTCTCTAATAATGCCACTCTGCTTGGAATCTTCTACTTCATCCTCTTTTATTATCAACTGTGTTACCAGGTGCTGGTGGTAATGGTTTACCAAGATCTTGTCTGACGTCAGCCCAACTGCCTGCCTCATAATTACATTTACATTCAAATGAAGGGCTGACCAACCCCACCTTGCTGCTGGTTCTGGTGCTTTCTCTTTCAGGGAACTTTTATCTATCCTATTATCCTGCCCTGATATTCAACAGCGATCCCAGACCTGTAAGATGATGCAACAGTTGCTTGGATTTGTAACTTAAATAGTTAAGTAAATTGACGTTTTTAAAAGAAATTAGAATGGTAACTGTAATAGTAATGTTTAATATTCTTCTTGCCTGAAACCTTTGTTTTGTCAGGTTATTACCAATCAACAAAGAAATCTGTAACTCTCTTAATTTCTCATATAATTTTAAAAATCTCCTTTTTAGTCTTTAACGGATACAGTCAGTTTGAATAATTGTAATTAAATAACTTCAGAATATAGAGCACCTTGTAAACAGCATGTCTTGAGTATAAATGTCTCAAAAATGTTCCTCACATTGTTGATGTTTGTGTTTTTCCAGAATGGGAGAGTTTAAAGCTCTGACTGTAAGGCACATGTTCACACTCTCCCCATACAGAGTGATTTAAGAGATCCCTTCATCTGGTGGCCGTTGCAAACTGATAGATTTTAAAAAGCAGACAATAAATCTTCCTAACAAAGATGGTGCCAGAAGCACAAAGAAAATGACTGTAAAAAGTAGTGAAAAAAGTCTTTGATTAGGCCCAGGAATATTGTTGGCTTCTGTTTCAAGCCAACCTTTATCTGCCTGAAAGGAGGCTGGTTCCTTCCTCTGAGGCTGCTGGCTATAGTCTGCTTTCCTTGGCAGCTTAGGCCAGGGAAATCAGCAGGGAGAGACATCTGGGTTGTTAAGTTTGTGAATCAGAAGTGCCCTGATGCTGCTCTGTGACACACGGATGCTCCCTGGGTCAATGTTCGTGTCCCTCTGAGAAAAATGATTCTGAAAGTGGCTTTATATCCAGTTACTAACAGCTTGTTATTAACAGGAGAACTAAACCACACCCTAGGACTTTAGAATTGCCTCTCTGGGTTGTGTAGCTGCAATTTGTGGAGTGAATTCGCTGTATTTTTATTTTGGATGGGTTTCTTTGCAATGAGCTATTTGTAAGGGCTATGCTTGCAAAAGAGGTGCAAATTACAATGAGTTGTTTCCCTTTACAGAGGTGTGGGTTTTCATTCAGTAGCCTTTGTATTTTGACACTGCTCTTATTCACACATCCCTTCTAATTCCAGCACTAAAGGATTCTAAGTGTGTACTTACAGACAGGAAAGGTACTCCTCTTCTCTTTAGGACTGGGCTTTTGGGGGAAAGAATTTTTACTGAGAAGTGTAGAAAAATCTTTGTAATTAATTTTGGTACAATTAGAGAATTCTACATTAAGCATTGGGAACCTCAGAATGTTGAGGCAAGTTGCATGGGACAGTGCATGGAAAAACTAAGATCATCTGTAATTGGTGTACCCTTATAAAAATAGATATTACAAATAAATGGAAAAAGACTCTTATTCCCTTTATCTTGAAAGACATGTAATTGTAACACAATTTTTGAGAGCTCGCAGACTTTTTAGTACTGAATGTCATCCAAATTCAAGAAGATGTGTTTCCTATATCCTTGGAATATTTATCCTGTTTGTGAGCATTATCTCCCAGTTAAATTCCCCTGTATTGTTGAGTGTTGTGCAGGGCTGTCAGAGGCAGATCCATAGGAGGGGAAAGTTTTGCCTCCATTGGCTCCATCTGCATCCTCTGACAGGGTATCCATAAACATTGGCTGCTCAGCGATTTCAGCTCAGCCCTGTTGTTTGACTTCCCCCAAACACATAATTTTCACATCCCTGTGAATGATGTAATCTCATATATTGCAGTAGATGATGGGAACATTTTAAATCCCTGGTGTTTCTCTTGCTTCATGGGTTGTCTCTGCACATACCCCACAATTTCAGTATCACTTAATCATATTTTTTGTATCTCAGAGTGTTATCCTTTATTCTCTGTTCTTCTTTTATCTTTTGTTTATGCTCCTCTTTTCCCTTTCTTGTTTTGCCTGTTCCATTATCTGAATTTTCTTCAGTTCTATTTCGATTCTTTCCAGAACATAATTAGATCAAGATACTCCGATGGCAATTTGCTACACTGATTTGATATCAGCTAACAATAGTAAGCTTTGAATAAGGCATTTTGTTTAAAAAGATTTACATAGCAGGATAAGATTGCTGAGGAGGACTGCAGATTTTTAACACTGAAGTGAGAATAAGATAACTAAAATGCAATGTTCAAATGATCTGCACCCAGGGTCTGGTATCTCCTATTTTGTGTAACAGAACAGGGTAGAGATATTAAAAAGGAGCCGTGTCTTTGCATGTTGTCTTGTAGTTTGAGGCTACCAAAATTTTGGGGTAGCTCTGTTTTCTGAGAGCGTTAATCCAAGTCTGCCTTCCCAAGGATCATTTTGTGGCCATGCTCAGCCCTTTCCTGCTCAGGCCCAGCATGTCAGCACCTTCAGAGCCACAGAACCACTGAACCTTCAGTGCAATAACTTAGGCTGCAGTTCCATGGACGTTTCTGTTGGGCATGGCTTTCAGGGAATACAAAAAAGAGGGGGAAAAGTGAACTGCCATTGCCTTGGACTGTGTGGGGGATGGCAGTGGGTGGAGTAAGGGTTAGGTGTGCTGCCTGTGTAAAGTGCTGGTGGAACATGGGCCCCCTCCGGACTCTCTGGGGTGATGGGGAAGTGAAAACTGTTCTGAGGCAGTAGGCTGGACATCCAGAAAGCTCAGCCATGTGGAGTGTTGTATTTGCAGCATTTTCTGCAGAAACAGGACAGATCTGTGTGGCACCAGCAGCAGAAGTGCTGTGTTCCTTGGCAGAATTCAGAGAGATGGATTGCCAGGAAAACTGAACTCCAAGGTTGTTTTTTTTACTTCACCTGTTCAAATGCCAGGTGTAATTTATCTACTAAACCAGTGGCCATGGGAGTCGTCTCAGTGAAGTTTTATGTGTGTTAAATTAAATGTACTTTGAGATCTCTGGGGAAGAAAATTTTCTAGTTTTCTAACAATTGGTTGATGAAAAACTATCAATAATAACAAGTGTGGTGCTCACCACTGGAACTCTAAAGGGTTTGTTTGTACAGGCAGTGGAGGTGGTGGACTGTTGTATAAGAGCTGTTCTAGAGAGCAATGCCACCCCAATAATAATAACATAATCACAAACATGCAATTAAGTGTTTTAATGACAGCTATTAAAACTGCAATTTCAGGACTACTGTTACTTTAAAACTTGCCTGTAGAATGATAACTTACATTAAAGGTGTTTACAGCTCTGATAGTTTTTATTAGGAACCCTTACTCATAAAATTACTCTTCCTTTTATACGAAGATAAGAGGACAATAATCTGTCTGTCTTTGAAGCATGAAAATGATGTGAAGTCTCTCTTGGAGAATCAAAAAGCAGGTGAGCCTGAATGTGCCCCTTTGTGGCTCAGGTGATAGAAATAGATGTTTATTCTCTTGCCTCCAGATGACCACTCCAGTAAGACTGCAGGCTCAGGAATGCTCCTAGCCCATGCTTTTAGAGCTGTGTGCTTGGAATTTAACGCTCAGGACTTTGTTAGGGAACTCAGTATTGCTGATTGTTCTAATGCAGTTTTTTGGAGGTGTCACTGACCCTATATTCAAGATGAGTTTGCACACACATTAATTCCTCCTAAAATTCTTAGGCAGCAGTAGGAATTTTGAGAGAGGTGGCTTTTGCTTTTACTGAAGCTTCAACAAACGCAAAGCTTCTGAAATGTTTATTTGCCCTTTTAAATGGGACTCTTTTAATATAAAGAACCCTACTTAGATCTCATTTTCAGGGCTTGAAATGCAAGCACATGCACATGGCAGATGTGGCACAGCTCAGAGAGATGAATGAGTGGTGCTGACTGAACTATTCTCACTTGCTGAACTGAATCTTCTGGGGAAAAAGGAGAAGGAATATAGCACAATTTCAGTTCTGCCCTGTGTCTCTGATCCCTACTGGGGATCTGTTTTTCATAAGAGAGCAACAGAAGAAATAAAGATGCCAGCTGCCTGTGAAGCCTTCCTCAATGGTATTTGGTGTAGTTTCATGCCCTGAAGTTTTGGTTGTTAACAAATCCTTTTGAGAAAAATGATGAAAAGTGGCTGGTAGAGAGCTGAATGTATTTACCATTCTGTCTACCCCACTTCTGTTTTTCTAACTGTTGCTAATGACTTATTTTTAATTTCTAGATGTTAAAATGTGTTTTAATATATTTCATGGATAAACTGCATCAGTTTTGCCAGAAAGGAATGGTCTGAAGCTAAAGGAGGGTCTTAGTATTCTGAAATTGAAATTAGTTAACTTCTGCTTCAAAATCAATACTGACAGAAATAAGAGCATTCCTTACTGCTCCACAAGCAGCTTGAATTCAGCAGGAGTTACAGAGCCCGTGTGTGAACCCCAGGGTAAATCAATTCCGCAGCAGAACCATGAAAATGAACAGCAGATCCTCGATGCCATTGATTTGGTTCCTTCCTGAGCAGCGCAGGGCTCCCGGGCACTGAGCTGATCCCTCGTGCCCAGGTATGGCCGGGTGGGACTGTTGGGTGCTCCCTGAGAATCCTGCAGGCATTATTTGGCCTGGGCTTTCCTGCAGGAGGTAACAAAGGAATCGATTGCCTTCCCTGTTTGCCTGCCCCCGCAGCTCTCTGCTGCTGGCAGCCTGGCATTTCTGCCCCACACATTTAACTCTGGGATTCCTGTCCCTGTAGAGTCTCTCCTACCTTAGAGGGACTCTGTTTGTTGTGGCTTGGA